CATTTGGACTTTTAGCGGTATATCGGTGTTGTTTTATTTCGTTTGTGCGCTCTGGCACGCTTATGATGACCCGGTCATGCCACATGCGCTGAAGGTGAAGTGCCATCGAACACTTCGTGCGAAGCAGTACACTACGCGCGGCAGCGGCGACGACGACGAGAATCATCCGTGTCCCATATCCGATTGGATCCGTCTCGGGACAGGCTAGGGCCACACGCCCGCGCCTCATCAATGGATCCATGATCCGCGGCAGAGGCCAGAGCCTGAGGCTGAGCGCCGACGGCGCGTGTGCGACCTGCTCTCGCATCGATGGATGATGCGCCAGCGGCAATAGCAAGAGCGATCATGCCCCGGTCATGCATGCGCATACAAAGGTCAAAGGACAAAGCCGGCGCGCGGCGGGGGACTCTCCTTCACTGCTCGCGCGCGAGACTCTTACGCCTGATCGGGGTTGGCCGCAAACAGAACAGGCAGCAGCGGGATGGCAAGCAGTGCAAGGGCAGCGACACCCGCGGGATGGCAAGCAGTGCAAGGGCGCACTCGCTTTAAAGATGCCCTGCAGGCATATTCAAGATGCGTTGCGTTTTCCCTATTGAAAGTCGCGACAAATGTCCCTCGTCCAGCCTGCAGCATGGCGAGGCGCGAGAGCGCAACGCGGTCGCGGTGGCGCACCGAGAGGGGCCGCCTGGCCACCGCTGCCACGGCGCCGCACGGACTTCACCCACTTTCGCGACTGTGGCCATCCAACAGTCTGCCGGCGCGGCGGGCGCATTCGAATGCGCCGGCCGCGCCGGCAGACTGCCAGTGCTTGCTATCCCGGGCGCACGTCAGCCGCGAGGACAGCGCTGCATCGCCGCCACAGCAACGCCTCCCCCGCATGGCCGCCGCCAGCAATGCCGCCGCCAGCCGCCGCATCCAGCCGCCGCCACCAGCTGGCAGCTGCCGCCAGCACTGCAGCGACAGCTCTCTGCTGCCCAGGCGCCGCCGCGGCCACGAGTGTCACCGCCACGTCCCACGAGTGCCACCGCCGTCAGCGTCGCCATGGCCACTGCCGCCGCCAGGGGGGCGAGAGAGGGGCTCCATATGTGTGTATGAGGTGTGTGTCTGGAGGCTGTCGCTTCCTGTACAGGAAACGCAGGTATTTCGAATACCAAACGCGCTTATAGTTGCAGGGCATCTTTAAGAAAACAGGATTGCGTGGCACGCCGCCGTTTCTAAGCCTTTCCACAGCCCTCATCCACCCCGCGCCGTGGTTTCTTAGCTCCGGCCGGGCGGGGCACTCAATCAAGCCAGAGCGCCGGCCCGAAGGATTTTTAGGTATTAAAGCTGCGGAGCCGGAGGTATTAAGCTGCGGTCCGCGAGGGCGATGCCAGAGTCTGCCGCCGAGTCGGCTCTCTGGATGACGGGAAGACGCACACACGCCTCCATCCACTCACTCCACTCAGAAGACAGAACTCCGCAGACTTGAAAAGTGACAAGTGCGCGCGCCGCAGCGCGAAGAGAAATTTTGAGCTTCAGCTGGGGCTCCCGTTCACACTCGTGACTGGCCTTTTCTCGGGGCCGCGCCTGCGGCGCGCCCGCGTGGTTTCTTAGATTTTCGCGGAAATCGCTTGGTAGGGTTTCTTGATGGTAAGGTTTCTTAATGCCCGCAACCCACTGTACAAGGGCCTACGCAACCCCGCCTCTTTTCTTTTTAGTAAACTCGTTTTCTCCAAGTAAGCTAAAAGTACGTACAAGGGACATTCTGCAGAGATGCAGGGAGGAGCTCAGCCTTGGGAGGAGCCCAGGCAAGAAAGCACGACGGCGGAGAAGGCGTCGGGCGGCGCCTCGATCGACGTCGAGACACCGGCGAGCTTTGTGAGCTCCCGCAGCTCCTTGATCGTGAAGGCCGCCTGCAGCACGCCCCGCCGGCCGAGGATCGCAACCTGCCGCACCGCGGACGCGAATTCGCGGACGCGCGCAGGGCGCAGCGCCTCCACCGACCGCCCGCTCGCAGACCGCGAGGTGCACCGGCCTTTAAGCCCGCCGGGCCAGAGAAAAGAGAAAGGCGCCGCCAGTTCAACGCCATTATAAGGGACACTTCTGTCATGTCATGTATGTATGTATGTAGGAAGGTGAAGAACAGTCAGGCTCGGACTGGACACCAACGCGGTATGGGTGGACGCTGGACAGATGATGACGGCACGCACGAGCGACACACAGACACAAACAGGCTCACAAGACACACACCACAGCCAGCGAGCGGGCTGCCACACACCCTGAGTAGGCGTACACATAACTCAAGGCGACATCCTCCCTGTCGCCCCCCCCAGCACTCCAAGGTGCCAAGAGAACAAACAAGGGCACAACAAACAACAGACGGCAGGAAGTAACATGTGAGACTAGAGCAGACCGCTCCGCCTCTAGCAATCTCGCCGGCCGGCGAGGCACGGACGAGACCGTGTGTGGGTCTAGTGAGGTGTCTATGGACGCCCTCCTCACAGGCTAGCGGCCTACTGCTAGCCCTAACTCGCACTCAAGGGAGATGTCAGTTCATTGGACGATGGAGAAAAAGAAAACAAATCAAATCAACTGTGTGTAGGCGGAGCTGTGGAGCACACCGAGCTGTGGGCACACGGCTGGTGGAATTGCTGCGCGTAGCACACCGAGCACACCGGGGCGACAGGACACCTGCGTGATGCCGGTCACCCTTGAGGCGATCGACATCTCATTGCCCTTTATTTTGTCGGCATGGCCGCCGTCGGCATCATCTTCTGGGCTCGCGGCGGCGGCGATGGCGGTGGGCAGGACGAAGCAGAATCTTTCTTCCTCGCTCGCGGGCCGCAGTATGCGCTGGCCAGCGGTAGGGCTTTCGCTCTTTGTCTCCAACGTAGGGTCGGAGCACCTCCTGGGGCTCGCGGGCTCGGCATCCCAAACCGGCGTCGCTTGCGCCTACTTTGAGTGGTCGGCCGCGCTCCACCTTCTTCTGCTCGGCTGGCTATTTGCTCCGGTCTACTCAACAGGGAGGAAACATCAAATAAAAAACGCCGGGCGTTGTGAACGCGGCTCAAAGCACGCCGACGAGCTGTCGACTGGTGTGAGCTGTTTAAACAAAGCAGCAGCCCGCGAATTCGCGCCGACATGTTCTCCCTCGGCATTTCTCACAACCCTCTTGTGCGATGGCGGACAGCGTCGGGCCGGCGCTCTGACGGTGTGTGCTCAGCGCAAACGGCCGCCTCGACCGA